GCATTTGTTCAAAAATAAGAATGCCTTCCCTTGTCCACTATAAGTATCAAAAGAAAGTCTCAAATTTATGTATGATTTCTGCTGACCCTGCTAACAAGTCAAAGAACTAGAGTTCTTAGACTAAATTTACTAAAGAAATGTTCCATACATTACATGTGCACGCACACACACACACACACACACACACACACACACACACACCTTATAGATTAACTCCTACAGATAATGCCATCTAGGTGAAATTTCACTTCCAGAAACACAACTATACCACTTTCCATAACAAGAATTACAAAAAGAACCCATAAAATTAGTATTCAAGTATGATGGTGGTAGATTTGGGGTGTCAGCATGACTGGATTAAGGGATACCCAGTGTTTTGGTTTGGCTCTGTGTCCTCACCCAAATTTCGCCTTGAATTGTAATCCCCATAATCCCCATGTCAAGGGTGGGGCCAGGAGGTAAATGGATCATAGGGGAGGATTTCCCCATGCTGTTCTTGTGATCATGAGTGAGTCTCATAGGATCTGATGGTTTTATAAATGTCTGGCATTTCCCTTGCTGGCATTCATCCTCTCTCCTGCTGCCCTGTGAAGATGTGCCTTCCACCATGACAGTAAGTCTCCTGAGGCCTCCCCAGCCTTGCAGATCGGTGAGTCAATTAAACCTCTTTATAAATTACCCAGTCTCAGGTATTTTCTCATGGCAATGTGAGAATGGACTAACACATCCAGACAGCTGGTAAAGCAGCATTTATTCTCAATGTTTCAGCAAGCACTGAGCTCATCCCCTTTCTGCTGAAAGACAAAACCATGTGGTATGGAATTTGGTTTGAATGATTGGGGTATCCCGGGTGTGTCTGTGAAGGTGTTTCCAAGGAGATTAGCATTTGAGTCTGTGGACTGAGTGAGGAAGATCTGTCCTCAATGTGAGTGGGCACCATCAAATCAGCTGGGGACCCAAATGTAACAAAAAGGCGGAAGAAAGGTGAATTTGCTCTCTTTTCTAGAGCCAGGATGCCCTTCTTCTGTGCTTGAACATCAGAGCTCCTGCTTCTCTAGCCTTTGGATTCTGGGACTAGCACCAACCCCTCTCCCTCCTCCATGTCTGACTCCACCTTGGACTGAGAGTTACAGCTTTGGCTTTCTTGGTTCTGAGGCCTTTGGACTTGGACTGAGACATGATACCAGGTTCCCTGGTTCTCCAGCTTCTAGAGAGCCTATAGTGAGAATTCTCAGTCTCCATAATCGACTAAGCCAATTCCTCTAAAAAATTCTTTCTCATATATAACACTATCTAAATACGTATCCAATCAATAGCCTGTCTCTGGATAAACCTGACTAAAACACCACATATTTTTCCATCAGTGTAAGTGATAAGAGCTGCTAGCTGGATGATATGGTATTTAAGATTATACTACTATGTACTGGAAAAGCAACTGTAATTAAGTAACTATCCTTGGCTAGTTTGGTGTATTAAATATCCTAACAAATGGCAGATAATTCCTAATACTTTATAACACCTTGGTTGTTGAAAATGACCACAAAAAAAGTTGATAAAATTAAGGTAATCTTACTAACCTCAGAACTTTTACTCTTAAAATTTTCTAGGGAAATGAGATTAGACCTCTGCATATTTTATGAGAAACATATTAATAAGTTAGCAAAGTGAAAAGCCATGTGCTGCCTGAATTAGTTTACACAGGACCAAAACATAACTGATTCTGATAAAAGGAAACAGACTAAACTCTCCTTTGCTTAAAAAAAAAAAAAAAAAAAAAAAAGGGGAAACATAAAAGTTACAAGTTACATTTATCCTTTTTTTTATTAAAGGCGGGGTACTTTCTGTTTATAAACGTAATAATGCACAAGAGCAATATATCTCTGTTTGAGGTTTAAGATAAGCTTTCTGATTAATATTAAATATATTCTTAATTTTTCCACTTAATGTATTTTCTTCTTTCTTCATTCCTACATACTAGTAGTGAGTCTCAAAAGTGGCTCCCAATGACCCTACCCTCTGGTATTCACACCCTTGTGTAATTCTCTCTCCTTGAATGTTGGCTGGACCTAGTGAATCACTCCTAATAAGCAGAATATGGAAAAAGTGAAGGCATGCCATTTTCAAGACTATATTAAAAAAATACTGGGCCTTTCATCTTGCTCACCCTCTCTTGTTAGCTTGCACTAAATGGAAGCTGATGCCATGTTGTGAACTGACCTACAAATAAGGCTCATGTGTCAAGGAACTGAAGTTGGCTTCTCAAAAACAGCCACACAAGAACCTGGGTCCCTTGGTTCAACAACCAGTGAAGAACTAAGTGTTGCCTATAATCACATGATCGAACTGGAAGCAGATCCTCTCCCAGGACCTTCAGATGACACCACAGACCTAGCAGGCATGTTGAGTGCAGCTTTGTGAGAGACCCTGAGCCAGAGGAGTCAGTTAAGCTGCACTCAGATTCTTGATCAACAAAAACAGATGATGTTTGCGGTTCTAATCTGAGAAGTTTTGGGGTCATTTGTTATGTAGGGCAATGGTTTGATCTGTGTTTCCCCCAAAATTCATATGTTGAAATCCTTACCGCCAGTGCCTCAAAATGTGACCTTATTTGAAGCTAGGGTCTTTACAGAGGTAATCAAGTTAAAATGAGGCCATCAGGTGGGCCTCAGAAATCTGGACACAAGAGACATTCATAGAAGGAAGACCATGCAAAGAGACACAGGGAGAAGATGGCCACCTATAAGCCAAGAAAACAGGACTGGAACAAATTCTTCCCTCACTAGCCTCAGGAGGAACCAACCCTGCAACGCTGACTCCAGACTTCTAGCATACAGACTGCGAGACCATAAGTTCCTGTCGTTTAAGCCACATAGTTTTTGGTACTTTGTAATAGCAGCCCTAACAAAGTAATAGATGTGGCAATAGATAGCATACATATACTTAATTCAAAGTAACTTCTATCAGTAATACCAAAATTAGCCTCCATTAAGGACTCAAGCAGATGCCCAAAGAAAAAAGATAATTGTCCATATCAGAAAATCTTAGAACCACAGATTTTTTAGTGAGCTGGGACCTCTGCAGTCATATAATCCAACCTACTGATATCAGAAATTGATGATGATAATAATAATGATGTGCCAGGAACTGTTTGAACACATATATTAATTCTTCATAACAACATCATGAGCTATCACTATCATCCACTCCTTTTTTAAAATGTATAAATGGACGCCCAGAAGTTAAGGTCACAAAGCTAGTATGTGGCAATGGCAGGATCTGAATAAATTAAGGTGCAGAGAGAAAAAGTAATTTATCCAAAATCATGCTTGGCAGCTGAGCTGGGTACCTAATGGTATGTCTCCTATATTCAAATCTTTTTTTCTCAAAAAGTCAAATAAAAAAGCTTTCATTTCTCAAAATATCTTATTGCACTGTACCATTTTATTCATAATAGTCAAATAAATATCCATGAACTGGTGAATAGATACACAAACTATGGACTATCCAAACACTGAAATACTACTCAGCATTAAAAGGATCAGATGTTTTATCCTTTTTCATGCTAGGTAACATAGCTGAACGCAATAACATGGATAAATCTATTACAATATTCCCCCTTTATCTATGGTTTCACTCTCCACGGTTCCAGTTACCCACACTTCAGAAATATTATATACAATACGATATTTTGATAGAAGCCACATTCATATAACTTTCATTTCAGTATTTATTACAATTGTTCTATTTTATTAATAGTTATTATTATTAATCTCTCATTATGCCTAATGTATAAATTATACTTTATTACAGGTAAGTATGTATAAGAAAACACATAGTATACACAGAGTTCCCTACTATCCGTGGTCTCAGGCTTCCACTGGGGGTCTTGGAACATATCCCTTTTTGGTAAGGGAACTACTGCACACATGGAAGGAGTACTACTACACCCTATTTTTAGTTATCCTCATTTTAGAGATCCATTTCAGAGAACAGGCTTTAAAACAAAGAAAGCCAACATAAAGCTTTTAAATTACCATGCCCTAAGACACAATTTGTCTAAAAGTATCTGACTAAGGAATCAGAGTCTGTTCTGGGAAATCAGTATTGAGTACTTAGGAGTTAGCCTTTCTTTGGGGGTCTGGATTATAAGGTATTATGCTTGGGAGGCAATGGCAAGCAGACTTCACCACACAAAGAACAGAAATATGATGACAGCCAGTTCCCAAAGAGAGAAGAATGAGATGGACATGCAGAGAGGAGAAACTCTGCTGAGACTCCGCAGGAAATCTGAGCAATCTGCGTTTGCTCCTGGGTTCTTATTGTGCAGTCCAGCTGCATTTCTGTTTTTGGATCCTGTGGCATCTCCTGGGACAATTCCAAAAGTCTTCCCTTTTTTGGTTAAAATAATTTGGTTATTTGCAATCAACACAGAACCAACATGATCAAAAAGGTGCCCTCTCTAAAGCTGAAGAACGTTATTGAAAAACTAATAACTCATGTAAAAAATAAACTTTTTAACAACAACAAAGTAAAGTAAAACGTTAAAACTAAGGGTAGCCACAGTACTCTCAAGGGCCTCACAAGATAGTTTATAGCTTAATCACTCAAAGTAACCATAATACAATTGATTAAAGAGTTCCAAAGCATGTGCTTTACAAACAACTAGATTTTTCCAGGAAAAAACAAGAGGAAATTATGCTTTAAAAATATGACTTTTATCATCTGTAGGTACCTATAAGCAAAGTAATGTTGATTTAAAGCCAAAAGTGAAACTGAAGATAACTTATTCTAATGTAGCCCTGTTTGAGTGCAGAAAACTAAGAGCCAACAAGGAAAGAAGGCTTCCCCAAGCTTACCAGCCAGCAATGGTAAAGAAGGATTGAAACTCAACTCCTGAATCACAAGTCAGTGGTCTTGCTGCTGCACAATAATGCAGCAAAAACAATCACAATTCTGTTCCTCGCTCCTTTTTCAACAAATAATACAATCCTAAAACTGACCTGATTCTCTGTTCTGTGCTGGCATGAACCTGCGCAGAAATGATAAGAATGGCAGGCACTTTCTTCCTGAAGCAGACGTGTAGTATTATACCTGTGACGAAGACAAGAAAAAACTCAGTTTATGTTCAGAATATAAACTGACTCAGCATCATGAGTCATTCATTTTTTACTGATTTTCTCTTTACCTACTTACTTGTTGTCTTGATTGTTTAATAATGGAACATACGGCACTTATTTAAGACAGATTAAATTTGCTATTAAAAATCCATGAAAAATACAGTTATTTAAAGCTGGTCCCTAAAGACCATCTGATTCAGCTTCTTTATTTTACTGATGAGGAAACTTTTACCTGGAGAAGTTATGCAAAGAATAAATGATAACACAGCTATTTAGTGTTAGAGCCAGATTCAGAACTCAACCCTTACCACTTCTGGTCCAGTACTCATTTGTGTATCAGAGACCACACTGCCTCTTTTCTTTTTTTTTTTTTTCCTATACCTCTTTTATTATTATTATTATTATTATACTTTAAGTTGTGGGGTATATGTGCAGAACGTGCAGGTTTGTTACAGAGGTATACACGTGCCATGGTGGTTTGCTGCACCCATCAACCTGTCATCTACATTAGGTATTTCTTCTAATGCTATCCCTCCCCTATCACCCCACCCCCTGCTATCCCTCCACTAGACCCCCACCCCGCAACAGGCCCTGATATGTGATATTCCCCTCCCTGTGTCCATGTGTTCTCATTGTTCAACACTCACTTATGAGTGAGAACATGCACACACTGCTTCTTTTCTTGGAAAAAAAATTCATGCTATTTCTCTAGGTGTATTTGTCATGCATCTCAAGATACTTGTGGTATAGGCCTAAGTTGATTTGTTCTAAATTAAAATTTTAAAAATTGTTGTCTCATTCAAAGGTCATATTCTAGTCTCAAGTTATTCAGGGTGTCCTATATAGGATATTTAAATGTTTCCTTTCATTTACCAGTCAATATTTCCATATGAAAACATTAGCATATGAATCATGAGATATAGTTTCCAGGCTTCTAGTAACTTTGCTCTCAACAAGTTCTATGGTCTAGTCAAACACATTTTTTATCCTAAGGCTCTTTAATTCAAAAATGAGGAGACTGGACTAATTCCTATGAGCCTTCTAACTCTAAAATGTCATACCAAAGAATAGCATCATCTTTAATGACATTCTGCTTTTCAGATGAGCTATGTGTTTTTGTCATATAACTTTGTTAAACTCTTTAATCATATTATTACAGTTCAAACAAAATCAGTAATATTACCTTCAATAGACAGACAATTATTCAAAAACCTGACTAATGATAACCTAGTTTTGCTGTCTCATTATCTAGCTGGTTCTTATACTACAGGAATCCAGCTAGAAGTAAAAGAAAAATCATTGTTTTCATTTTTTTTTTAATTTTTAATTTTTACCTGTACATAGTCAATACATAGATTTATAGGGTACATGAGATGTTCTGATACAGGCATACAATGTGTAATAATCACATCAGGGTAAATGGGGTGTGCATCATCTCAAGCATCTATTACTTCTTTGTGCTATGAACATTCCAATTGTACTTATTTTTTAATGTACAACAAATTATTGTTAGCTACAGTCACTCTGTTGTGCTATCAAATACTAGATCTTATATATTCTTTCTAACTATATTTTTGTATCCATTACCATCCCCAGTCCTACCTCACCTACTACCCTTCTACCCTTCCCAGCTTCTGGTAACCATCATTCTATTCTCTATGAGTTCAACTGCTTTAATTTTTAGCTCCCCCAAAAAAGTGAGGACATGCAAAGCTTGTCTTTCTCCACCTGGCTTGTTTCGCTAACATAATGTCCTCCAGTTTCATCTATGTTGTTGCAAGTGACAGGATCTCATTTTTTTATGGATGAATAGTATTCCAATGTGTATGTATCACATTTTCTTTATCCATTTGTCTGTTGACAGACACTTAGTTTGCATCTATATGTTGCCTATTTTTGTTTGTTTTTTGAGACAGACTTCTGCTCTTGTTGCCCAGGCTGGAGTACAATGATGCAATCTCAGCTCACTGCAACCTCTACCCCTCAGGTTCAGGCAGTTCTCCTACCTCAGCCTCCCAAATAGCTGGGATTACAGGCATGAACCACCATACCTGGCTAATTTTGTATTTTTAGTAGGGATAGGGTTTCCCCATGTTGGACAGACTGCACTCGAATTCCTGACCTAAGGTGACCCACCCACCTCGGCCTCCCAAAGTTCTGGGATTACAGGCATGAGCTGCCATGCCTGGCCACTGTTAACAGTACTACCATAAACATGAGAAGGCGGATATCTCTTTGATACACTAATTTGCTTTCTTTTGGGTATAAACCTAGTAGTGGCATTGCTGGATCATATATGGCAGTTCTATTTTTGGGTTTTTAGGAACTTTACTGTTCTCCGTAATGTCTACACTAATTTACATTCCCATCAACAGTGTACAAGAGTTCCCTTTTCTCCACATCCTTGTCAGCATTTGTTATTGCCTGTCTTTTGCATAAAAGCCGTTTTAACAGGATGATACCTCATTGTGGTTTCGATTTGTATTTCTTTAATTATCAATGATGCTGAGCACGTTTGTTTGCCATATGTATGTCTTCTTTCGACAAATGTCTATTCTGATCTTTTGCCCATTTTTTAAATCAGATTAAGGGAAAGTACTCTTTAAAAGTCTACCTCTTGGGTAGTTTCTAAGAAATATCCTAAATTATTTCTTCAAATCACTGATCTAGTTATTCATCCAATAAGTTTTTACTGAGTCACTTGCCAGATGGCAGATACATACAGGCTTAATGAGACAGAAAGCTTTAAAACAAGATAATCCTAGTGAAATACTGAGTGCTGTTAGGAATTCAGGTGGCAGTAGAGGTTAGGCAGAAGTAATGACATGTCTCCTAAATTATGACTTCAAATTATAGCTTCTTTATCGTTTAATATATTAATTACTATATACAATTATTTGGAACATTTTAAATTCAAAGCAAAATAATAGAATGAACATCCAGACACCTGTCACCCAATTCAAGAAGCTTAGGGTAAGTTATTGGTATTGTTCTACTGATTTGCCCCTCCTCCATTACATGCCCTGCCTCTCTTACCCCTATACCCCCTGTAACTGCAATCGTGTATTTTGTGTTTATCATTAGTTTGCTTTTTAAATAGCATATCACATAGGTACATCTTCCTGAACAATATGGTGTTTCATTTTGCTTGGTTCTGAATTCTGTAAAAATGGTATCAAACTCTGTTCTCCTGTCTTGTAGGATATGATTTTTTCATTCAGTGTTTCCAACACTCATCCATGTTGTTGCATATGGTTGTAGTTCATTCATTTTCACTGTAGAATAATACTGCATTGTGCAAACATACAGTATCACAATTTAATTATTCGTTCTCTTGTCAATAGCTTATTTTCTCCTCCAAGTTTTGCTATTATGAACATTTATGTTATGAAAGTTCTGACACGTGTCTCATGTTCCACATGTGTCCGAGTTTCTCTTAAATACATGCCTAAGAACTGGGGAATAATCTTATGTTTAATTTTTCATGATGATGCCAATTTTTAATTCCCTTAAAATGTGTTTGGCAATTTATAACTTCACTACCAACAGGTAGTAGCAGAACTACCGCATCTACAGCCTCTCCAACAGGTAGTAATGCCAATTTCTTAATTTGGGGGTATAACATGGTATCTAATTGTGGTCTTAATTTGCATTTCCTTGTTAATTAATGATGCTGAACATTTCTTCATGTTTCTTGGCTACCTCATATTTCCTCTTGCATGAAATGCCTATTCACATATTTTACACATTTTCCTCCTGAGTTCTTTGCTATTTTTTTATTGTTTCATGTGTACTTTGTATGTATTTGGATGCTCATTACTTGGTTTTACCAGTCTTTACCAAATATAGGCAACTGTTGAGAAAAGGGAGCAGAAGCAAAAATAGCAGGTGACCAGAAAACTGGAAACAGCAAGTTAGAGTACCAATGACTCTCTAAACCCATATTTTTTTTTTTTTTTTTTTGAGACGGAGTTTCACTCATGTTACCCAGGCTGGAGTGCAATGGCACGATCTCGGCTCACCGCAACCTCCGCCTCCTGGGTTCAGGCAATTCTCCTCCCTCAGCCTCCTGAGTAGCTGGGATTACAGGCACGCACCACCATGCCCAGCTAATTTTTTGTATTTTTAGTAGAGATGGGGTTTCACCATGTTGACCAGGATGGTCTCGATCTCTTGACCTCGTGATCCACCCGCCTCGGCCTCCCAAAGTGCTGTGATTACAGGCTTGAGCCACCGCGCCCGGCCCCATTTTTTAATGTAAATGTAATCTGCAGATATCTTAAAGTATCAGAAATCTAAAATATTATAAAATCAATCTAGATTTACAATCTCTCATTTTAATATAAACTCAGCCAAGAGCAAATGCTACAAAATGATTTCAGTACATTCTAACTACAGTATGCAATATAATATAATTTTCAGGGATCAAGTTTTATACAGGTCACAATTTAGACCGCAATTTAAAGTTCCCATTTTGATCCTGACATTTTACATATTTTTATTTCATGCTCTGCTTGCTTCCAATTTAGAATAAGTGAGTTATATTGTCAGAGGGTTAAGTTTAAATGTATATGCACATACGTACAAAAACTAAATTTCAAAATTAAACTATGTAAATTGAAATGCCACAGAAACCTGAATTCCAGACTTAGCAAGATGATTAACTATATCTCTGGCCTATCTATGTCTTTTGAGTTGGTATTCTTACATTAATACATAAAATGGAAATTGTGCTGGGTTAATTCCAAGACGCTTTGAATCAATCATATTCTTTGGGCGGGGAGCAGTGGCTCACACCTGTAATCCCAATACTTTGGGAAGCCAAGGCAGGACTATCACTTGAGAACAACAGTTTGATATCACCCTGGGCAACATAGTGAGACCCCATCTCTACAAAAAATTTAAAAATTAGCTGGGCATGATGGCACACATCTGTAGTCCTAGGTACTTAGAAGCCTGAGGCAGGAGGATCACTTGAGTCCAGGAGACTGAGGCCACAATGAGCTATGAATGTGCCACTGCCCTTCAACCTGGGTGCCAAAGTGAGGCCCTGTCTCTTTAAAAAAAAATTCTTTGGCTTGAAGATCAATGAGAAATTTTTTTTTCCACATAGCCCAGAAAGATTTTGTGGAGTTTCTTCCCAAACTTTATACAAAATAGCCAGTTAAACTAAATAATAATAAAAACTAAATTTTCTGGAAAAAAAATTTAACAAGCAATTTTATATAGCTCTCCTAAGGCCTCCCAGGACTCTTGCCAGATCATCTGATGAAATGCATCATACAGGAAAAAAAAAATTCAAAAGTCACAGAAAATATCACTCTACAATAGCTGACCTTGATTCCTACACAAGCAATTAGAAGAGAACTTCCAGAATCTCTCATG